TAACATATAGCGTAAGTAACTAAAAGTGGGGCAAAGGGAGTATGATATCGTTCCATGCTCGGGACTTCTCAACTTATCAGTTCACTTGAGCTCAGTGTGGTGATAAAACCTGATAAAACCCCCTTTACACTGGACGGCGTCCTTTCTGCGTCCTTTGTGCGACCCTGAAACTGGCATCGCTGAGGTTGTAGAAAGGAGGCACAAGCATCGCTGTTGTTGCAGAAAAATGTTCAATGATCGGCCAGTTGTTGGCACATATATTTTTTTTTACTCTCAAACGGGGCCGTACTACGGGACGCAGAAAGGACGCCGCCCAGTGTAAAGGGAGCTTGATTGGAGATAAGATGCCTGCAAGTTGCCAATGGCTAAGGGTGCATTCAGAAATAGTTGATCTGTGGACTAACTAGTCAAATATGGCGCCGTCCACTTGAAAAAGTGCCGAGATTTTATTACTCTTCCCCGGCAGGATCGGCACGCTTTGGCCTCAGGTATCAATTGTTAAGTGCGCCCCATATTTGATCCGAGCACCTGTTAGTCCGTGGAACAACTGGTTGTGAATGCGGTCTATCAAGTAACTGACGAGAGTCAAAATACAGGACAGTCTGGGTCATTGCCCGAGCTTATTTCTCTTGCTGGCTCTTGTCAACACGATATTCTTCTGTCTGCTCGGTTATTTAAAGTTGTCTGTATCATAAAGGAACGAGATGGCAAGTAAAGCCGGTTTGTCACTGGCTGTATTGTACGTTCTTTTGTTGTGTTCTTCGTCCTCTGACGCTGCAAGAATTCTATCGCTGGTTTACCCTGGAAGGAGCCAGTTAGGCCTAACCGTGACGGTGCTGTCAGAGCTGAAAAGTCGAGGGCACGACGTTTGGGCGGTGTTTGCGGACACGTTCGAAATATCGCAATCGCTGCTACAAAAAAATGGAATTAATCTGCTGACTTTTAGATCAAAAGAGAAAATGTTTCTGGACGATCCGGAGTTACAGAAGGACATTTTCATGGCGGCCGTTGAAAACCCAAAACTACGCACAAGCCTGTTTCATATGGCGTCCACTATTCAAAAAGCTTCTAGGATATTCGAAAGTCATTTGGAAGAGATGTTTGTGGACAAGGAACTGGACAGAAAGGTCAGGGAGTTGAAATTTGACCTCATGATTGTTTACGGTTATTGGTTTTTTGCAAAGGCCTACCTCTTCCCTCACCGGTATGCGGTTCCTTACGTGTCAATAGTCCTAGATATGCAGCAGCTTGCTGGTGTTCCAATGCTGCCTTCATTTGTCCCTAGTCTAGCGATAACTGCCAAGTGCTCCGACAACATGAGTCTTTCTCAGCGAATGCTCAATATCGTTCCTTACGTTTTACTGAAGCATTCCTTACAACCTATAACGCCGGAACTTTCCCAGAAGCATGCCCCAGGCCGCCCTTACATGTCTACGCCAGAGCTGATGGCAGAATCAGAGTTGTGGATAGTGGACGGAGGCCAGCCCGCCATTGACCACGTCAAACCGTCACTGCCCAACGTCAAGTACCTAGGAGGTCTTATGACGCGACCCGCAAAGCCACTGCCGAAAGACTTGGAAACATTTCTTAAAAGGCATGACCACGGCGTGGTTCTTGTATCGTTCGGCTCCCTGGTCAAATACATGCCGGACAGAGTAGTTCAGGAACTTTTCGAAGCCTTCAAGAACGTGCCTTATGGCGTTATATGGAAGTATAATGGGCAGCCGCTAAAGAATGTCCCGGGTCATGTCAAGATTATGTCTTGGATGCCACAGAATGATATTTTGGGGCATCCTAACACTAAGCTCTTTATCACACACGCTGGAAACAACGGGCAGATGGAGGCACTATACCACGGTGTGCCCATGATAAGCATACCTTTGTTCGGTGACCAAGATTACAACGCGGCAAGGGCGGAACAAAAAGGCATCGCAATAACAATGGACGCGGCATTCTTAAAATCCGAGGATCTTATTTCTGCCATTAATATCATGATGCAAAATGAGACCTATGCCAAGAATATGCGCAGGGCGTCCGCCATTTTCCGCGATCAACCTGGCACCCCCGTGGAACTGGCAGGTTTCTGGATTGACCACGTGATCAAATATGGCGGTTCCTATATGAAGTCCCATGCAAGACTGCTTCCCTGGTACCAGTTCTATATGCTTGATGTTATGTTGGTGTTTATAGCAATTATTTTAATGATTTTTTTGTTCTGTGCAGTTTGTTGTTCTTTTGTGTGCAAAAAATTACGTCGTCATTCAACTTCCGCTGGGAATCAAAAGACTAAAAAGACCGAATAGAGCACAATTTTACTTTGTAACGAAATATATTACCTCTGTATATATTTCAGTATTTTTTCATTGCGAATGTGTCTAAACAGACAGACTATGTCTTATTTAAACTTCTCAGATAGATTCCCAATCTTTTTCGCCGTTTCTATCTACACTGTAACTTCAAATCCAATCGTATTTCATGGACGACGTGGCAAAAAAGCATTGTTTAGACTCTCAAAAAAGTTAATTGTTGTTAATTCACATATCAAGAAAGCTAAATAAAATGGATGTGGAATACCGGTTTGGCATTATCTCTCAGTTTTCATAATTCGGAAGCTGAATATCTGTGATTGTCAAATACACGAAAACGACAAACAGCATCCTCTTTTGTGGATGGTGATAGAATGCTAGTATCGACCCTTTATAAATCAATTTCTCAAAATTAGTGATTGACGCTTGATGCCTACCAATGGTGTGCATGTCCCATTTTTCCCTTGTGACGTCACAATTTACTTTTGACGTCTTCCTCGCATTCGTCGGTGTGGCAACCGCCGGAAATGAATAATTAAATGATTTATTGAGTATGTAAAATTTTTATTCCTGTCCATGATCTCAATTCTGACTGCAGCTACATGGGTATTAAAAAATTACTATAGAAAATTGTTCAAATTCTCAAAATGGCATGTACTTTCAGTAATAAAATCAGACTAGTAAATTGTCATTAGAGCTGTCTTTCAGCTCCCTTTCTCAAAGGCAAATACAATGACCACACCTTGTGGGGAACCCCCTTAGACCATCCCGGGCCCCACATTACATTAAATAACCCTTATTAATATTAAAACCCCAGGGTTTGGGCACAATGGGCTGTTCTTGGGATAACGCTATCTGCAATACTGCTACAGAGATTCCCAGGTTCCTTGTCTTAAACTCTTCACACGGAAAAGAATGAAACTACATGTTGTAACTTCAACAGAATAATATATTTTGCTACACTAACAGTTACATGGTACAAGTCTCTCTCTCTCCTCCTCTCTCTCTCTTCTATCCGGTCTCAATTCTACATCTTCCTCTCCTCCCTTCTCTCCTCTATCCAGTCATTTCTACATCTTACTCATCCCTAGGTTTAAGTTCCCAGATTTTTTATACTAAACTTTATCTACTAAATTGTCAATCACAAAACTTAAAAACTGATTGGTTATTTCATACGCAAGTCCACCCCTTCCTGGTGGTCACCGTTAATAACTCCTTGTAATCAAGTTCTAACAAATAACCGGCTTCGAAACAAAGGACATTAAAATTGGAACTGCAAGGTGTGAAGTACATGTTTTATCTAAAGCTACTTATACAACATGGCTTCTCATGTATGACTTTTATGAAACAATGGCTTCCTCTGATTGAGTTAATACTACACCAAGTATGCAAGTTTTAAAGGTACTAATTACACTTTTTTTTATACTGTGGTTCCTGACAACCTGTGAAGGTCATATCTGTTTTAGTTCTATTTGCTACAATGACACCAACTGATAAAATCACTTTCTTCCAATTAAACCACCTCAAAGGGCTCTATGATTGTTTGAAGATCCAGGTAAGTTCTGTTCAATCGCTGTCAGTGGACAGATTCATCCGATAACAAAGACATTGCAACTTCTTACCTGAAAAACAATCAGAACTGCAGCTCATATAATTACAGTGTAAGAGAGGTGCATTTCAATCGCTTATAAAATCGGCATCAATACTAGAAAAGGTCTTTGATGGCCATTTCCTGGCACTATATACCTATGCTGATATAATTAAACAGTTGTCAAGTTTAATTATCAACCGGTGTGAGAGTTACAGACGATCAAAGTTGATCATTTTAACATTGGGAGTAATGGAGCTTACGGATTGTTTTACCCTAGTCCGGGCGTGGCGGCCATCTTGTGACGTCATGCCGACTGTAAGAATAGGGGTGAAGGTGGCGAAACTAGCACACTTAGAGACTGCATGAACAAAGGAAGTCGACCCATATGCGTCCTTGTACTGTACAAACATAGAGCACACATAACTAAAAGCGGAGTCAGAGGGAGCATGATATATTTGTCATCTTTCCGTTCTCGGGATTTCTCGACTTATCATGGAAGTTACCAAGGGCACTTCTGGGCCCCGTAACTCGATGGCATCGCGCATTGCGACCGATCGCAGGCGTCTCCATTCCATAACTAGCCCATACTCGCGTCATATAATACATTTAGGGGAACTGACGGAAGCCAAAATATAGGACAGTCTGGGTCATAGATCTAGGCTCTCTTACAGACTGTTGTCAACACGTTATATTCTTCTGTCGGCTCGGTAATTTATACTTGTCTATGTCATAAAGGAACGAGATGGCGAGTAAAACTGGTATGTCACTGGCTGTATTGTACGTTCTTTTGTTGTGCTCTTCAACCTCTGACGGTGCAAGAATTCTGTCGCTGGTTTACCCTGGAAGGAGCCAGTTAGGCCTTACTGTGACAGTGCTGTCAGAGCTGAAAAGTCGAGGGCACGACGTTTGGGCGGTGTTTGCGGACACGTTCGAAATATCGGCCTCGATGTTGCGAGAAAGCGGAATTAATCTGCTGACTTTTAGATCTAAGGAGAAAATGTTTCTGGACGATCCGGAGGTACAGAGAGATATTTTAATGGCGGCCGTTGAAAACCCAGAACTACGCACAAGCCTGTTTCATATAACGTCCGCTATTCAAAAAATGTCTAGGATATTCGAAAGTTATTTGGAAGAGATGTTTGTGGACAAGGAACTGGACAGAAAGGTCAGTGAGTTAAACTTTGACCTCATGATTGTGAGCGGTTATTGGTTTTTTGCAAAAGCCTATCTCTTCCCTCACCGGTATACGGTTCCTTACGTGTCAATAGTCCTAGATATGCAGCACCTTGCTGGTGTTCCATTGCTGCCTTCATTTGTCCCTAGTCTAGCGATAACTGCCAAGTGCTCCGACAACATGAGTCTTTCTCAACGAATTCTGAACGTTCTTCCTTACCTTTTCCTGAAGCATTCCTTACAACCTATTACGCCGGAACTTTCCAAGAAGCATGCCCCGGGACGCCCTTACATGTCTACGCCAGAGCTGATGGCAGAATCAGAGTTGTGGATAGTGAACGGAGGCCAGCCCGCCATTGACCACGTCAAACCGTCAATGCCCAACGTCATGTACCTGGGAGGTCTCATGACGCGACCCGCAAAGCCACTGCCTAAAGACTTGGAAACTTTTCTTAAAAAGCATGGCCACGGCGTGGTTCTTGTGTCGTTCGGCTCCGTGATCAAATACATGCCAGACAGAGTAGTTCAGGAACTTTTCGAAGCCTTCAAGAACGTGCCTTATGGTGTTATATGGAAGTATAATGGGCCGCCGTTAAAGAATGTCCCGGATCATGTTAAGATTGTGTCTTGGATGCCACAGAATGATATTTTGGGCCATCCTAACACTAAGCTCTTTATAACACACGCTGGAAACAACGGGCAGATGGAGGCACTATACCACGGTGTGCCCATGATAAGCATACCTTTGTTCGGTGACCAAGATTACAACGCGGCAAGGGCGGAACAAAAAGGCATCGCAATAACAATGGACGCGGCATTCTTAAAATCCGAGGATCTTATTTCTGCTATTAATATGATGATGGAAAATGAGACCTATGCCAAGAATATGCGCAGGGCGTCCGCCATTTTTCGCGATCAACCCGGCACCCCCGTGGAACTGGCAGGTTTCTGGATTGACCACGTGATCAAATATGGCGGTTCCTATATGAAGTCCCATGCAAGACTGCTTCCCTGGTACCAGTTCTATATGCTTGATGTTATGTTGGTGTTTTTAGCAATNTTGTTTTGCTTGTTGTGGATTACTTAACGTCGCTCTGAAACAACGGTATAACAGATTCAAGGTAGACAGTAAATACTGGGCTCCCACGGCATGGAAAAACATGTTTACAAAATCTAAAGGCAAGTTTGCTATAATGAATATCAATTTAAAATGAGAATTGAATCTTAAATGTTATAAGCTTTTACGAGAAGGTAGATACTGTCTTAAATAGTATTTTTGTTCAATTTTGGACACTTAAAGAATACATCTTCTTAAAACATAAAACACACATATCAGTATACATGGACCATCGCTGATAACACAAATCCAAACAGGCAGGTAATGTATAAATACAGAACATATCAAAACTCTCATTTTACTATATATGCAGTATTGATCATCATTATAGTCTGACCATTTTGAGTAATACTGAAATTGATATATCTTTCAGAGCCACAAAATTCGCAAACGACGCAATCTGCACGAGCAATTTGATATGAGTCCATCGCCTTGGTAACTAGACAGAATTTGATTGACTTTTTGCAATAAAACTTTTAATACTCTCTCTCTCTCTCTCTCTCTCTCTCTCTCTCTCTCTCTCTCCAAAAACCAAAATTAAAAATTTGAGGTTAATGCAGAAGATTATTATAATCCAAATATTTGGTTCGCTGGACTAAACCAGTCAAGAACTCACTTCGTCTCTACTCGTTGCAAGTCCGCTGTAGGATTTCACTGACTGTTTTTTTTTTTATTCCATTCAGTTTATTCTTTATGATACCATAAAACCAGGCAAAAGTTATGTAAATTATCGGACCACTTGAACCTTCATAGATGGTTACATGTAATAATATTTTTTTCTGTAGAGATTGCACGCTTAAAAAAAAGAAATGATCAATCTACTTTAAATATGGGAATTAACGACGTTTATCTCAACAAAAGTCCGTTTCTCGCCAAAATGAAAAGCTGTTATCTATTTAAGCAACATTGATCAACCAAACCAAATAGTACGACAAAAAACTGACTATTGCATAGCGTTGTAAAGTGAAATGAAATGCTCATCACGTACGTTAACCGGTCAATTTCAGGAGTTTACACAAGTACTCATCAGAAAATTGGAAATGTCCAATTTCTCTTCTCTCAACGCGTTGTTTGCCGTTGTACTGCACTAGATGTACTACGCCATGAATACGTTTCACTATTCTGGTACGTATATCTAATTATTATTATTCAAATGAAATAATTATTGAATAATAAAACAACTCATGGGTTCTTCCTGCCTTTCTCCTTATTTGCATCTGTGTGTTATTGGCTATTGTGTTTGTGTGGAAAAGCCCCCTGTTGTTGTTGTTGTTGCGGTTGTTGTTGCGGTTGTTGTTGCCCTACGATTTGTCTGAACATTTCTTTTCCGGAATCTTCGTGCAATACTTTTGTCCCCCATTTGTATATACCAATATCTTATGTACATAACAATGTATAAGTTTAACGATAGTGACCAGCATTCAGTGTGGTGAATGTGTTAGCTGTGCCCTCACAGCTCACCAAATGCTGATCTCCTACGGTACCCCTTATTCAACCGGTCGAGATTCGACGCGCGGTGAGTCGTGTGAGAGGCGGAGAGACCATTTAAGGATTAAGCGGTCTTTCTTTCATGTAGGTCCGCCATTTTTAGATCATGACCTAGCTAGCACTCGGCTCTTCTCGATCTGAATGGTGCCTAATCGAAAACCCTCGCAATTTTGAGTTAACGTCTATGCATTGAAAAGGAAAAAACATTGATATGTGCGATAGTGCGACGGGGACCAAAGTGATCGCATAACAGTTTTAGTTCTTTCGGGAGTTTTCATTTTAGAATAAAACAAAAAAAATATCATCAATACTTCACATACCAACCATTTCATGCTTGTGGACGTTTGTGGCCGTTTGTGGTAGTAAATTAGATCTAACTTCATCATAGCCATGTTTCAGTTAGAGACATTATGTGATGCTATGTTCAGATACAACACTGATAGGGGTGAAGGTGGCGAAACTAGCACACTTAGAGACTGCATGAACAAAGGAAGCCGACCCATATGCCTCCTTGTACTGTACTAACATATAGCGTACGTAACTAAAAGTGGAGTCAGAGGGAGCATGATATCTTTGTCATCTATCCGTTCTCGGGATTTCTCGACTTATCATGGAAGTTACCAAGGGCACTTCTGGGCCACGTAACTCGATAGCATCGCGCATTGCGACCATTCGCAGGCGTCTCCATTCCTTAAATCGCCCATACTCGCCCCATATAATACATTTAGGGGGCCCTGATCGGCTACATCACGTAACTGACGGTAGCCAAAATATAGGACAGTCTGGGTCATAGATCTAGGTTCTCTTGCAGACTGTTGTCAACACGTTATATTCATCTGTCGGCTCGGTTATTTATAGTTGTCTATGTCATAAAGGAACGAGATGGCGAGCAAAGCTGTTTTGTCACTGGCTGTATTGTGCGTTCTTTTGTTGCGTTCTTCAACCTCTGACGGTGGAAGGATTTTGTCGCTGGTTTACCCTGGTAAGAGCCTGTTAAGCCTTACCGTGACAGTGCTGACAGAACTGAAAAGTCGAGGGCACGACGTTTGGGCGGTGTATGCGGACACGTTCGAAATATCGGCCTCGATGTTGCGAGAAAGCGGTATTAATCTGCTGACTTTTACATCTAAGGAGAAAATGTTTCTGGACGATCCGGAGGTACAGAGAGATATTTTAATGGCGGCCGTTGAAAACCCAGAACTACGCACAAGCCTTTTTCATTTAACGTCCACTATTCAAAAATTTACTAGTATATTCGAAAGTTATTTGGAAGAGATGTTTGTGGACAAGGAACTGGACAGAAAGGTCAGGGAGTTGAAATTTGACCTCATGATTGTTTGCGGTTATTGGTTTTTTGCAAAAGCCTACCTCTTCCCTCACCGGTATGCGGTTCCTTACGTGTCCATAGTCCTAGATATGCAGCAGCTTGCTGGTGTACCAATGCTTCCTTCATTTGTCCCTAGTCTAGCGATAACTGCCAAGTACTCCGACAAAATGAGTCTTCCTCAGCGAATGCTCAACATCGTTCCTTACGTCTTACTGAAGCATTCCATACAACCTATTACGCCGGAACTTTCCCAGAAGCATGCCCCGGGGCGCCCTTACATGTCTACGCCAGAGCTGATGGCAGAATCAGAGTTGTGGATAGTGGACGGAGGCCAGCCCGCCATTGACCACGTCAAACCGTCACTGCCCAACGTCAAGTACCTGGGAGGTCTTGTGACGCGACCCGCAAAGCCGCTGCCGAAAGACTTGGAGACTTTTCTCAAAAAGCATGACCACGGCGTGGTTCTTGTGTCGTTCGGCTCCCTGGTCAAATACATGCCGGACAGAGTAGTTCAGGAACTTTTCGAAGCCTTCAAGAACGTGCCTTATGGTGTTATATGGAAGTATAATGGGCAGCCGCTAAAGAATGTCCCGGATCATGTTAAGATTGTGTCTTGGATGCCACAGAATGATATTTTGGGGCATCCTAACACTAAGCTCTTTATAACACACGCTGGAAACAACGGGCAGATGGAGGCACTATACCACGGTGTGCCCATGATAAGCATACCTTTGTTCGGTGACCAAGATTACAACGCGGCAAGGGCGGAACAAAAAGGCATCGCAATAACAATGGACGCGGCATTCTTAAAATCCGAGGATCTTATTTCTGCTATTAATATGATGATGGAAAATGAGACCTATGCCAAGAATATGCGCAGGGCGTCCGCCATTTTTCGCGATCAACCCGGCACCCCCGTGGAACTGGCAGGTTTCTGGATTGACCACGTGATCAAATATGGCGGTTCCTATATGAAGTCCCATGCAAGACTGCTTCCCTGGTACCAGTTCTATATGCTTGATGTTATGTTGGTGTTTTTAGCAATGATTTTATTAATTTGTTTGTTCTGTGGAGTTTGTTGTTCGTTTGTTTGCAAAAAATTACGTGGTCAGTCAACTTCAGCTGGGAAACAAAAGACCCAAAAGACCGAATAGAGCATAATTTTTACTTTGTAACAAAATTCAGTATATAACCTCTGCGTATATTTCAGTATTTTTTTCATTGCGAATGTGTCTAAAGAGAAAGACTATGTTTTATTTAAACTCTTCAGATAGATTCCCAATCTTTTTCGCCGTTTCTATTTACACTGTAACTTCAATTTCCATCGTTTTTCATGGACGACGTGGCAAGAAAGCATTGTTTAGACTCTCAAAAAAGTAACTTGTTGTTAATTCATATATCAAGAAAGCTAAATAAAATGGATGTGGAAAACCAGTTTGGACCATGGTATTATCTCCCAGTTTTCATAATTCGGAAGCCGAATGTCTGTTTTGATCTTATCGGGTTACATTGTTTGAACAGTAAATATATTTATTGTCAAAGACACGAAAACGACAAACAGTACAGGGCCGTAGCCTGAGCAAAATGCCAGGGGGGGCAGTAAACGGACACGAGGGGGCGAAGCTACCGAGGGGGGAGGGTGTGGTGTGTAAAATTCCAAATTCCACTGGGGCAGCTGCCCCCCCTGCCCCCCCGGAGGCTACGGCCCTGCAGTATCCTCTTTCGTGGATGAGGATAGAATGGTAGTATTGTCCCTTTATAAATTTATTTATTAAAATTCGTGATGACGCTTGGTGCCTACCAATACTGTTCATGACGCATTTTTCCCTTGTGACGTCACAATTCACTTTTGACGTCTTTCTCGCATTCGTCGGTGTAGCAACTGCCGGAAATGAATGTGATTAGTATGACAAGAGGCTATTGGTATTATTTTATAATTTGTTTTGCTTGTTGTGGATTACTTAACGTCGCTCTGAAACAACGGTATAACAGATTCAAGGTAGACAGTAAATACTGGGCTCCCACGGCATGGAAAAACATGTTTACAAAATCTAAAGGCAAGTTTGCTATAATGAATATCAATTTAAAATGAGAATTGAATCTTAAATGTTATAAGCTTTTACGAGAAGGTAGATACTGTCTTAAATAGTATTTTTGTTCAATTTTGGACACTTAAAGAATACATCTTCTTAAAACATAAAACACACATATCAGTATACATGGACCATCGCTGATAACACAAATCCAAACAGGCAGGTAATGTATAAATACAGAACATATCAAAACTCTCATTTTACTATATATGCAGTATTGATCATCATTATAGTCTGACCATTTTGAGTAATACTGAAATTGATATATCTTTCAGAGCCACAAAATTCGCAAACGACGCAATCTGCACGAGCAATTTGATATGAGTCCATCGCCTTGGTAACTAGACAGAATTTGATTGACTTTTTGCAATAAAACTTTTAATACTCTCTCTCTCTCTCTCTCTCTCTCTCTCTCTCTCTCTCCCTCCAAAAACCAAAATTAAAAATTTGAGGTTAATGCAGAAGATTATTATAATCCAAATATTTGGTTCGCTGGACTAAACCAGTCAAGAACTCACTTCGTCTCTACTCGTTGCAAGTCCGCTGTAGGATTTCACTGACTGTTTTTTTTTATTCCATTCAGTTTATTCTTTATGATACCATAAAACCAGGCAAAAGTTATGTAAATTATCAGACCACTTGAACCTTCATAGATGGTTACATGTAATAATATTTTTTTCTGTAGAGATTGCACGCTTAAAAAAAAGAAATGATCAATCTACTTTAAATATGGGAATTAACGACGTTTATCTCAACAAAAGTCCGTTTCCCGCCAAAATGAAAAGCTGTTATCTATTTAAGCAACATTGATAAACCAAACCAAATAGTACGACAAAAAACTGACTATTGCATAGCGTTGTAAAGTGAAATGAAATGCTCATCACGTACGTTAACCGGTCAATTTCAGGAGTTTACACAAGTACTCATCAGAAAATTGGAAATGTCCAATTTCTCTTCTCTCAACGCGTTGTTTGCCGTTGTACTGCACTAAATGTACTACGCCATGAATACGCTTCACTATTCTGGTACGTATATCTAATTATTATTATTCAAATGAAATAATTATTGAATAATAAAACAACTCATGGGTTCTTCCTGCCTTTCTCCTTATTTGCATCTGTGTGTTATTGGCTATTGTGTTTGTGTGGAAAAGCCCCCTGTTGTTGTTGTTGTTGCGGTTGTTGTTGCGGTTGTTGTTGCCCTACGATTTGTCTGAACATTTCTTTTCCGGAATCTTCGTGCAATACTTTTGTCCCCCATTTGTATATACCAATATCTTATGTACATAACAATGGATAAGTTTAACGATAGTGACCAGCATTCAGTGTGGTGAATGTGTTAGCTGTGCACCTCACAGCTCACCAAATGCTGATCTCCTACGGTACCCCTTATTCAACCGGTCGAGATTCGATGTGTGGTGAGGCGTGTGAGAGGCGGAGACACCATTTCAGGATTAAGCGGTCTTCCTTTCATGTAGGTCCGCATTTTTAGGTCGCGACCTAGCTAGCACTCGGCTCTTCTCGATCTGAATGGTGCCTAAGTGATCGAAAACCCTCGCAATTTTGAGTTAACGTCTATGCATTGAAAAGGAAAAAAAAACATTGATATGTGCGATAGTGCGACGGGGACCAAAGTGATCGCATAACAGTTTTAGTTCTTTCGGGAGTTTTCACTTCAGAATAAAACAAAAAAATATCACGAATACTTCACCTACCAACCATTTCATGCTTGTGGACGTTTGTGGCCGTTTGTGGTAGTAAATTAGATCTAACTTCATCATAGCCATGTTTCAGTTAGAGACATTATGTGATGCTATGTTCAGATACAACACTGATAGGGGTGAAGGTGGCGAAACTAGCACACTTAGAGACTGCATGAACAAAGGAAGTCGACCCATATGCCTCCTTGTACTGTACTAACATATAGCGTACGTAACTAAAAGTGGAGTCAGAGGGAGCATGATATCTTTGTCATCTATCCGTTCTCGGGATTTCTCGACTTATCATGGAAGTTACCAAGGGCACTTCTGGGCCACGTAACTCGATAGCATCGCGCATTGCGACCATTCGCAGGCGTCTCCATTCCTTAAATCGCCCATACTCGCCCCATATAATACATTTAGGGGGCCCTGATCGGCTACATCACGTAACTGACGGTAGCCAAAATATAGCACAGTCTGGGTCATAGATCTAGGTTCTCTTGCAGACTGTTGTCAACACGTTATATTCTTCTGTCGGCTCGGTTATTTATAGTTGTCTATGTCATAAAGGAACGAGATGGCGAGCAAAGCTGTTTTGTCACTGGCTGTATTGTACGTTCTTTTGTTGCGTTCTTCAACCTCTGACGGTGGAAGGATTTTGTCGCTGGTTTACCCTGGTAAGAGCCTGTTAAGCCTTACCGTGACAGTGCTGACAGAACTGAAAAGTCGAGGGCACGACGTTTGGGCGGTGTATGCGGACACGTTCGAAATATCGGCCTCGATGTTGCGAGAAAGCGGTATTAATCTGCTGACTTTTACATCTAAGGAGAAAATGTTTCTGGACGATCCGGAGGTACAGAGAGATATTTTAATGGCGGCCGTTGAAAACCCAGAACTACGCACAAGCCTTTTTCATTTAACGTCCACTATTCAAAAATTTACTAGTATATTCGAAAGTTATTTAGAAGAGATGTTTGTGGACAAGGAACTGGACAGAAAGGTCAGGGAGTTGAAATTTGACCTCATGATTGTTTGCGGTTATTGGTTTTTTGCAAAAGCCTACCTCTTCCCTCACCGGTATGCGGTTCCTTACGTGTCCATAGTCCTAGATATGCAGCAGCTTGCTGGTGTACCAATGCTTCCTTCATTTGTCCCTAGTCTAGCGATAACTGCCAAGTACTCCGACAAAATGAGTCTTCCTCAGCGAATGCTCAACATCGTTCCTTACGTCTTACTGAAGCATTCCATACAACCTATTACGCCGGAACTTTCCCAGAAGCATGCCCCGGGGCGCCCTTACATGTCTACGCCAGAGCTGATGGCAGAATCAGAGTTGTGGATAGTGGACGGAGGCCAGCCCGCCATTGACCACGTCAAACCGTCACTGCCCAACGTCAAGTACCTGGGAGGTCTTGTGACGCGACCCGCAAAGCCGCTGCCGAAAGACTTGGAGACTTTTCTCAAAAAGCATGACCACGGCGTGGTTCTTGTGTCGTTCGGCTCCCTGGTCAAATACATGCCGGACAGAGTAGTTCAGGAACTTTTCGAAGCCTTCAAGAACGTGCCTTATGGTGTTATATGGAAGTATAATGGGCAGCCGCTAAAGAATGTCCCGGATCATGTTAAGATTGTGTCTTGGATGCCACAGAATGATATTTTGGGGCATCCTAACACTAAGCTCTTTATAACACACGCTGGAAACAACGGGCAGATGGAGGCACTATACCACGGTGTGCCCATGATAAGCATACCTTTGTTCGGTGACCAAGATTACAACGCGGCAAGGGCGGAACAAAAAGGCATCGCAATAACAATGGACGCGGCATTCTTAAAATCCGAGGATCTTATTTCTGCTATTAATATGATGATGGAAAATGAGACCTATGCCAAGAATATGCGCAGGGCGTCCGCCATTTTTCGCGATCAACCCGGCACCCCCGTGGAACTGGCAGGTTTCTGGATTGACCACGTGATCAAATATGGCGGTTCCTATATGAAGTCCCATGCAAGACTGCTTCCCTGGTACCAGTTCTATATGCTTGATGTTATGTTGGTGTTTTTAGCAATGATTTTATTAATTTGTTTGTTCTGTGGAGTTTGTTGTTCGTTTGTTTGCAAAAAATTACGTGGTCAGTCAACTTCAGCTGGGAAACAAAAGACCCAAAAGACCGAATAGAGCATAATTTTTACTTTGTAACAAAATTCAGTATATAACCTCTGCGTATATTTCAGTATTTTTTTCATTGCGAATGTGTCTAAAGAGAAAGACTATGTTTTATTTAAACTCTTCAGATAGATTCCCAATCTTTTTCGCCGTTTCTATTTACACTGTAACTTCAATTTCCATCGTTTTTCATGGACGACGTGGCAAGAAAGCATTGTTTAGACTCTCAAAAAAGTAACTTGTTGTTAATTCATATATCAAGAAAGCTAAATAAAATGGATGTGGAAAACCAGTTTGGACCATGGTATTATCTCCCAGTTTTCATAATTCGGAAGCCGAATGTCTGTTTTGATCTTATCGGGTTACATTGTTTGAACAGTAAATATATTTATTGTCAAAGACACGAAAACGACAAACAGTACAGGGCCGTAGCCTGAGCAAAATGCCAGGGGGGGCAGTAAACGGACACGAGGGGGCGAAGCTACCGAGGGGGGAGGGTGTGGTGTGTAAAATTCCAAATTCCACTGGGGCAGCTGCCCCCCCTGCCCCCCCGGAGGCTACGGCCCTGCAGTATCCTCTTTCGTGGATGAGGATAGAATGGTAGTATTGTCCCTTTATAAATTTATTTATTAAAATTCGTGATGACGCTTGGTGCCTACCAATACTGTTCATGACGCATTTTTCCCTTGTGACGTCACAATTCACTTTTGACGTCTTTCTCGCATTCGTCGGTGTAGCAACTGCCGGAAATGAATGTGATTAGTATGACAAGAGGCTATTGGTATTATTTTATAATTTGTTTTGCTTGTTGTGGATTACTTAACGTCGCTCTGAAACAACGGTATAACAGATTCAAGGTAGACAGTAAATACTGGGCTCCCACGGCATGGAAAAACATGTTTACAAAATCTAAAGGCAAGTTTGCTATAATGAATATCAATTTAAAATGAGAATTGAATCTTAAATGTTATAAGCTTTTACGAGAAGGTAGATACTGCCTTAAATAGTATTTTTGTTCAATTTTGGACACTTAAAGAATACATCTTCTTAAAACATAAAACACACATATCAGTATACATGGACCATCGCTGATAACACAAATCCAAACAGGCAGGTAATGTATAAATACAGAACATATCAAAACTCTCATTTTACTATATATGCAGTATTGATCATCATTATAGTCTGACCATTTTGAGTAATACTGAAATTGATATATCTTTCAGAGCCACAAAATTCGCAAACGACGCAATCTGCACGAGCAATTTGATATGAGTCCATCGCCTTGGTAACTAGACAGAATTTGATTGACTTTTTGCAATAAAACTTTTAATACTCTCTCTCTCTCTCTCTCTCTCTCTCTCTCTCTCCCTCCAAAAACCAAAATTAAAAATTTGAGGTTAATGCAGAAGATTATTATAATCCAAATATTTGGTTCGCTGGACTAAACCAGTCAAGAACTCACTTCGTCTCTACTCGTTGCAAGTCCGCTGTAGGATTTCACTGACTGTTTTTTTTTATTCCATTCAGTTTATTCTTTATGATACCATAAAACCAGGCAAAAGTTATGTAAATTATCGGACCACTTGAACCTTCATAGATGGTTACATGTAATAATATTTTTTTCTGTAGAGATTGCACGCTTAAAAAAAAGAAATGATCAATCTACTTTAAATATGGGAATTAACGACGTTTATCTCAACAAAAGTCCGTTTCTCGCCAAAATGAAAAGCTGTTATCTATTTAAGCAACATTGATCAACCAAACCAAATAGTACGACAAAAAACTGACTATTGCATAGCGTTGTAAAGTGAAATGAAATGCTCATCACGTACGTTAACCGGTCAATTTCAGGAGTTTACACAAGTACTCATCAGAAAATTGGAAATGTCCAATTTCTCTTCTCTCAACGCGTTGTTTGCCGTTGTACTGCACTAGATGTACTACGCCATGAATACGTTTCACTATTCTGGTACGTATATCTAATTATTATTATTCAAATGAAATAATTATTGAATAATAAAACAACTCATGGGTTCTTCCTGCCTTTCTCCTTATTTGCATCTGTGTGTTATTGGCTATTGTGTTTGTGTGGAAAAGCCCCCTGTTGTTGTTGTTGTTGCGGTTGTTGTTGCGGTTGTTGTTGCCCTACGATTTGTCTGAACATTTCTTTTCCGGAATCTTCGTGCAATACTTTTGTCCCCCATTTGTATATACCAATATCTTATGTACATAACAATGTATAAGTTTAACGATAGTGACCAGCATTCAGTGTGGTGAATGTGTTAGCTGTGCCCTCACAGCTCACCAAATGCTGATCTCCTACGGTACCCCTTATTCAACCGGTCGAGATTCGACGCGCGGTGAGTCGTGTGAGAGGCGGAGAGACCATTTAAGGATTAAGCGGTCTTTCTTTCATGTAGGTCCGCCATTTTTAGATCATGACCTAGCTAGCACTCGGCTCTTCTCGATCTGAATGGTGCCTAATCGAAAACCCTCGCAATTTTGAGTTAACGTCTATGCATTGAAAAGGAAAAAACATTGATATGTGCGATAGTGCGACGGGGACCAAAGTGATCGCATAACAGTTTTAGTTCTTTCGGGAGTTTTCATTTTAGAATAAAACAAAAAAAATATCATCAATACTTCACATACCAACCATTTCATGCTTGTGGACGTTTGTGGCCGTTTGTGGTAGTAAATTAGATCTAACTTCATCATAGCCATGTTTCAGTTAGAGACATTATGTGATGCTATGTTCAGATACAACACTGATAGGGGTGAAGGTGGCGAAACTAGCACACTTAGAGACTGCATGAACAAAGGAAGCCGACCCATATGCCTCCTTGTACTGTACTAACATATAGCGTACGTAACTAAAAGTGGAGTCAGAGGGAGCATGATATCTTTGTCATCTATCCGTTCTCGGGATTTCTCGACTTATCATGGAAGTTACCAAGGGCACTTCTGGGCCACGTAACTCGATAGCATCGCGCATTGCGACCATTCGCAGGCGTCTCCATTCCTTAAATCGCCCATACTCGCCCCATATAATACATTTAGGGGGCCCTGATCGGCTACATCACGTAACTGACGGTAGCCAAAATATAGGACAGTCTGGGTCATAGATCTAGGTTCTCTTGCAGACTGTTGTCAACACGTTATATTCATCTGTCGGCTCGGTTATTTATAGTTGTCTATGTCATAAAGGAACGAGATGGCGAGCAAAGCTGTTTTGTCACTGGCTGTATTGTGCGTTCTTTTGTTGCGTTCTTCAACCTCTGACGGTGGAAGGATTTTGTCGCTGGTTTACCCTGGTAAGAGCCTGTTAAGCCTTACCGTGACAGTGCTGACAGAACTGAAAAGTCGAGGGCACGACGTTTGGGCGGTGTATGCGGACACGTTCGAAATATCGGCCTCGATGTTGCGAGAAAGCGGTATTAATCTGCTGACTTTTACATCTAAGGAGAAAATGTTTCTGGACGATCCGGAGGTACAGAGAGATATTTTAATGGCGGCCGTTGAAAACCCAGAACTACGCACAAGCCTTTTTCATTTAACGTCCACTATTCAAAAATTTACTAGTATATTCGAAAGTTATTTGGAAGAGATGTTTGTGGACAAGGAACTGGACAGAAAGGTCAGGGAGTTGAAATTTGACCTCATGATTGTTTGCGGTTATTGGTTTTTTGCAAAAGCCTACCTCTTCCCTCACCGGTATGCGGTTCCTTACGTGTCCATAGTCCTAGATATGCAGCAGCTTGCTGGTGTACCAATGCTTCCTTCATTTGTCCCTAGTCTAGCGATAACTGCCAAGTACTCCGACAAAATGAGTCTGCCTCAGCGAATGCTCAACATCGTTCCTTACGTCTTACTGAAGCATTCCATACAACCTATTACGCCGGAACTTTCCCAGAAGCATGCCCCGGGACGCCCTTACATGTCTACGCCAGAACTGATGGCAGAATCAGAGTTGTGGATAGTGGACGGAGGCCAGCCCGCCATTGACCACGTCAAACCGTCACTGCCCAACGTCAAGTACCTGGGAGGTCTTGTGACGCGACCCGCAAAGCCACTGCCGAAAGACTTGGAGACTTTTCTCAAAAAGCATGACCACGGCGTGGTTCTTGTGTCGTTCGGCTCCCTGGTCAAATACATGCCGGACAGAGTAGTTCTGGAACTTTTCGAAGCCTTCAAGAACGTGCCTTATGGTGTTATATGGAAGTATAATGGGCAGCCGCTAAAGAATGTCCCGGGTCATGTCAAGATTATGTCTTGGATGCCACAGAATGATATTTTGGGGCATCCTAACACTAAGCTCTTTATAACACACGCTGGAAACAACGGGCAGATGGAGGCACTATACCACGGTGTGCCCATGATAAGCATACCTTTGTTCGGTGACCAAGATTACAACGCGGCAAGGGCGGAACAAAAAGGCATTGCAATAACAATGGACGCGGCATTCTTAAAATCCGAGAATCTTATTTCTGCCATTAATATGATGATGCAAAACGATACCTATGCCAAGAACATGCGCAGGGCGTCCGCCATTTTTCGCGATCAACCTGGCACCCCCGTGGAACTGGCAGGTTTCTGGATTGACCACGTGATCAAACATGGCGGTTCCTATATGAAATCCCATGCAAGACTGCTTCCCTGGTACCAGTTCTATATGCTTGATGTTATGTTGGTGTTTTTAGCAATTATTTTATTGATTTGTTTGTTCTGTGGAGTTTGTTGTTCCTTTGTGTGCAAAAAATTGCGTAGTCAGTCAACTTCCGCTGGGAAACAAAAGACCCAAAAGACCGAATAGAGCATAATTTTTACTTTGTAACGAAATATAGTAAGCCTACCGCTGCATATATTTCAGTATTGCTTTCATTGTGTCTAAACAGATAGTCTATGTTTTATTTAAACTTCTGAGATAGATTCCCAATCTTTTTCGCCGTTTCTATCTACACTGTAACTTTACTTCAGTAAATTCCATCGTATTTCATGGACGACTCCCAAATAAGTTACCTAATTTGTTGTTAATTCATATATCAAGGAAGCTCAATAAAACGGATGTGGCAAACCAGTTTGGTATTATGTTTCAGTTTTCATAATGCGGAAGCTGAATACATGTGCATCTGTTATTGTCAAAGATACGAAAACGACAAACAGCATCCTCTTTCGTGGATGAGGATAGAATGCTAGTATCGACCCTGTATCAATCAATTTCTTAAAATTAGTGATAACGCTTGGTGCCTACCAATGGTGTCCATGTCGCATTTTTCCCTTGTGACGTCACAATTTACTTTTGACGTCACCCTCGCCACAATCGTTGGTGTGGCAACCGCCGCAAATGAATGTGATTAGTGATGACAAGAGGCTGTTGGTATTATTTTATAATTTGTTTTGCTTGTTGTGGATTACTTTACGTCGCTCTGAAGCAACGGTATAACAAATTCAAGGTAGAAAGTAAATATTGGCCTCCCACGGTATGGAAAAACATGTTTACAAAATCTAAAGGCAAGTTTGCATAATAAATATCAATTTTAAATGAAAATTAAGTCTTAAATGTTATTGACCATCAGGAACAAGCTTGTAGGAGAAGTTAGATACTGCCACAAGTAGTATTTTTGTTCAATTTTGGACATTTAAAGAATACATCTACTTCAAACATAAAAGATTCATGCCAGTATATATCTGGACCATCGCTGATAACACAAATCCGTACAAATATAGACTACATCAAAACTCTTATTTTATAGGCACGTAATATATATGCAGAATTGAGCATCAGTATAAGTAATAATTTTGAATAATACTGAAATTTATATATTTTTCAGAGCCACAAAACACGCAAACGACGCAATCTGCACGAGCAATTTAATACGAGTCCATCGTCTGGTAACTAGCCAAAATTTGATTGACTTTTTGCGATAAAACTTTTAATACTCTCTCTCTCTTTTTGTTTCTCCAAAAACCAAAATTCAGAATTTGAGGCGAATGCAGAAGATTATTATAATCCAAAATTTGTTTTACTTTTCAGTGATCAGGACGGGAGAAAAAAACATTGTTTGCAGACAAATGGTCGAAATTTCGGTATTATGAAACAGAATCGGACCGTACCTACTTAGCTTAATATTGACAAGATTAACTTTGTGACTGTGACTTTGAAGAGCCACGTGCAATATTTTGCGGTCTATTAATGGCTTAGATAGAAATATTTGGTTCGCTGGACTGAACCAGTCAAGAACTCACTTCGTCTCTACTCGTTGCAAGCCCGCAGTAGAAGTTCACTGATTGTTTTTTTTTATTCCATTCAGTTTATTCTTTATGATACCATAAAACCAGGCAAAAATTATGTAAATCAAACAATGAACGTTTCCCTAAAATAGGAAATGAAAAGTAGGGACAAGAGCAACTGTCACAATAGTTCTGAATTGTTGTTACCCTGTATATACAAGTACAAGAAAAATTCTTACCACAGTTTTTCAACGTTTCCTTTTTCACGGCTGTTTCCAGTATTAGTGAAGAGACAACAAAATTGTATATGATAATCAAGATTCTACGATATATTCATTGTAAGCAACATATAAATATGATAAATGCCATTTTATCACCAAAACGGCGGCTATCGCAATAAGTCTAAAAACTGTGCTTGTCATCGGACCACTTGAACCTTCATAGATGGTTACATGTACGCTTCGTAATATTTTCTGAAGAGTTTTTTTGCACGCTTTGAAAAAAAAAAAAAAAAAAAAAAAAAAAAAAAAAAAAAAAAAACCATCGACCTACTATACACGTGGGAATTAACGGATTGGTAACCACTGGAAAGTATGGGAAAATCGCCGTTTATCTCAACAAAAATCCGTTTCCCGCCAAAATGAAAAGCTGTTATCCCATTTAAGCCACATTGTTCAACCAAACCAAATAATACGACAAGAACTGACTATTGCATAGCGTTGTAAAGTGAAATGAATCACTCATCACTGTACATTAACCGGTCAATTTTAGGAGTTATACAAGAATTTTAAAAGAGCATGATAAAACAACTTACAACTAATAGTACGACATCACTTTAAAATAATGCAAAAATAAGATTGTACCCAAAAGGGTTTGCCTAAAGGGCCAATGACCCATGAATGGACACCCCCAAAGATATACAAATAATAAAAACTCTACTTTAGTACTAAAAAGAACAATGTTTACATCTAAAAACGACAATGTGTACATCTGCAGCGACCCACCCAAGTGCAAACGTTCTCGGGGTCAAAACGCTCCACCAGAAGAGTACCATAGTGCTCTCTGACGGATCGTCTAAACATTGATCTGACAGCCCCTGAACGTGTGCAAAATGGAAGGGCGTTCCAGATGGGAACAACGCGATTGAAAAAGACCGGCAAAACGTTTCGGTTCTACAGAAGTTGGTACTGTGGATGATAAAATGATCTCCCCTTGTGTTTCTGTGTAGAAAAGCTCCCTGTTGTTGTCGTGGTTGTTGTTGGCCTACGCTTTGTCACAACATTCGTTTTCCTGAATCTTTGTGCAATGCTTTTGTCACCCCATTTGATAAATAACTTATACAATATTATAAGCTAACAATGGATCAGTTCAGCGATACTTATCATCATTCAGTGTGTTAGCTGTGCACCACAGAGATCAACTAACACAGTGTGATTTAGCGAGGCCTTGCAGCTGGTAGAGAATAACTTGCCCGGTAACTACCTGGGTCACATTAAATGGAGTAAATCATCGAAATGTGCCTTGTGTAGGATTTTTGAAAGAGCCTCTTAAAAGATGCCAAAATACATTTATAATATTTAAACCGGATCTGACAATACTGCAGACCGCGGCTTCTAATTGTGCCAACGGTTGTGTAGGCCTATGTCATCTTGTAGTTATCATTTGCCGGAGTCAGTTTATTTGTATTGAGTTGAAATGCTACGAGACAGCCAGCGAGAAAGATGGAACGAAACGAGACGCATGTAACGGCACCGGTGTAACGAAAATGAGGGTCCTTGTACCAAAAGGCCTGCCCTCCCTTTAGTTATAATGATTACGGTTTGGCCCACGTGCCCTGACCTAAGTGGGGGTAAAAATCTAGGGCGACGAATACCTGTGCAAATGAATGTGAAGTGAACTCTCTATCATGTGGGCTCTCTGTCACGTTACACTGGTCACCAGTATACTAGTAAAAACTGCAGGTACCTTATACGGGCAGCTGGGGTAGGTATGATACTTCACGATTTGTGTGCCTCATTGTGTATTACTTTACAGTTTTTTATAGAAAACTACAACAGATGGGCTTCAGCAAATGGGGAAATGTAAGCATAAGTTGCCAATTATACCATAACTTTGAAAGGTACCCCCCCCCCCCCCCCATTAACTCCCACAACTCCAGTACTAGTGCCCCGGCCCTCCCATTCTGCTCGACCTTATTTTGACGAATCGAGACGGAATTTCTGGTGCGTTTAAGGTCGAAAAATAGATGTAATCGTTTTAGAGAAATAATATAATATAAATTGAGTATCCTCCTAATATGCATTTAAGTTGCAAAGTGTTAGTTATACACGTACCGGTGCATCGTATCAGTCAAGTCATTGTTTACCTTTGGTGAGACTTGACCTATTTCTTTAAATGACTAGTTGAAATGACGTCATCGAAGGATCCCCCCGCCGTTTTATAAATTCTGTCTAAATTTCAACTTTGAATTTTATTGTCGCACATTATCATGTCTCTTATAATTCTCAGTCACAACTATCCTGGAGAAAATACCTGGATTTAGCTCAGATTATGATTTATAGCCCATTTTATGCAGAACCACCTGACCGGATGTTGCAATGTCCAGCCAACCAAATCACTCCTTACAAACAGTGTATGGAGTTTTTCTAGGAACTGAAAGTATTCTTCGAAAACCCGATATTCCATGTGCGCGCTTTCCTGTCAATAAAACGCCACTACGATACAAGTTACACCTTAGAAAAGATTCAAAAGAGAGGTAGAACATCGGGCAGCAATACCAGGAAATCGTCAGGAGAGGTGAGTCCCTTACTACAACTAGCACTTCGGCCACGGTACATCTTTGCAAACATCTAATTTACATCACTTACTAGACTAGTCATTTCATCTACGGTAGGTCAGAGAGTAAAAAATGCAACACCTACAATATATTATTCTAATTATCTGTTCAGAAATTACGTTTAGGAAGCTGGAAAAAGCGGGGGTGGGGAACGACGGTGGCACAATTTGAAGACCATTAGCCGGAGATGTTTTCTGGGGGTGTTTTCTGTAAAAACACAATACACGAGTAATTTAAATCGGGCAAATTATCCTCTGCCAGTAATTCACAAAAATATGACAGTTACATTTTTTGATGATATGTGAGCTTCTGACAATTTGACTTCAAGTTAATTGTAGATATGTACGAGTATTCCCTGCATGTCTTCTTCAGTTCAACTTCTTTTAGATTTGTGAAAAATGGATTCAATTCAAGTAAAGGCATACTGAAATTTACAATGTAGTAAATGGNGGACCCCCCCCCTTCCTAGAAATTGCTGGCTAAAGGCCTCACAAGTTTGTGGAATTAAGATTGCCTCAACATAAAATTCCCAGAGAAAACAGAGAACACATTATAAACAAGGCACTGAAAATAATACTGCCAAAAAGATATACATTCTCTTAAGAAAACAAAACAAAAGTAAACTTAAAACAAAAGCAAAATTCCACCAAAATATTGTCTGTTCATAATATGCTACAAAAGTAATCAAACAAAGGGTTTTTAAAAGAGATCAGCGAATACCTCTAACAGAAAATCTGACCAGAGGTATAAAGTCCCAGGTTTAAAAAAATAGCTATTTTTTTCCTTATTTTTTTCATAAACCTTTAGTAACATAGTATTACACTGCACAAAGATGTAGGAGTGGAGACAACAAAGCCAGAGGTATTAGACTTCCTAGGACAATAGTAATAGTATTAGCGTCACTTTATCGCAGGACATGTCGCAATGCCAGATAT